ATATATAACTTGAAGTAAATATTGATAGACGGGCTTGCGATTATTGTTATCTAGCAACCTGTGTTAGACAGGTACTTTTTTATGACGTCAAATGGTCCTAATAGTATCCCTAATTAAAACCGTTAAAATATTTTTTTAACTGTTTACTAAATAATGTAGTAATAGCATATTGTGCTGGGTTTGGATATGAATAAAACATAAAAATGATGATCTATTATTGTTTATTTGCACGTGGTTTTTCAAAATCTTTTTAGCGCATCTTACAGCCTGGTTGGTCTTTTAAGGTCTGAAAAAAATTAAACGTTTAGTCGAAACAATTGGGAACTTTTACTCCCGAGATAATAAAGGATATTTGTCTAACTTAGGCATCACCACTATAATTATTCGGATAATAAATCTAGGTGAAGGGTTAAAGGGCATAAACGATTCGCGAGTGTCGTGATTTGAGAATAATTTCCACTCTTTACTTGGTGCACATTTATCATTAATGATAAATGTGCACCTGAATATTTGAAATGTAAATTTCAATATTTGGGTGCATCCCATAATCGCAATCTTCGCTCAGACAGCAAATTGACTCTTTTAATTCCTTCTCACCGTATTGGTTTTCTTTCTAACTCATTTACTCTTCAGGCAATATGACTCTGGAACGCTCTACCGCCCCATATTCAAAAAGCGCCGAATTAACCAGCTTTTAGGCAATTAGTCCGCGATTTCATATTGGAGTCTCAATCTATATCCCATTACTCAGACAAAGTTATATATAAACATGTATATGTATTATATATTATGTATTTATGTGTATGGGTTGCTTATATAAGTATATAGTTAGTCATATAATTTTATGTGCTATATTTATATTGTGTTTAAACTATATATCATAATTATTTATAAACTTCTTCCTATCTATTTTAATTATCATGTTATGCACCCCTGTTAATTATTTTGAACCCAGCTCTCCTATTGACTGGTAGAGAATGCCCAATGGCATTAAATCCACCATTTGTACTATTTTGTGTGCAATTAAGTTTAAATAAATAAATAAAAATAAATAAATATCATGATGGGCACAAAGGGTTTTCCAATATACTCTGTATTAACCTGTCAAGTGCTTACCATTTCACTGATTGTATCACCATTGAACAACAACTAGCTAGTACCGGAAGTATCGAAAGAACCGGGAAATTCCGGTTCCCTTGAAGACTGGTACCGAAATTCCCCGTTCAAAACATGCCCGGTTCCGGGATCCTTAAAGCCATGAGCGGCGCCCATGTGGCATTGCTCTACCGCTACAAGAAACGAACTTAGGTGATATTAACATTACATGATATCATTCCCTTCGAAATCATCGATATCTATACTTCCACTTAGCCCTTAATCAAATAAAAGTAAATTATTTATCAACTTATTCTTAAGTAACCCATAAACTGTGTTCCTACATTCTCAAGTTCTAAACGTATGATGATAAAATTACCGCCAAAGAAAAAATGACGTTCGCTTTTAAAAAAAAAATTAGCAATGGAAATGGCGTCTACGTATTTACTTAGAATAATAACGCATAGAAACCTAGTCCGCACACGCTAAGTGAGGCAAAGTGAAGCGGTCCCAAAGGGCCTACACGAGCGGGCGGGCCTTCAGTGCTCTAGGTCAACTTGCACCGCGAACAGCTCAAGAATTTTAGCTAAAAATGACGACATGTGCGGTAAATGAGTGTAAAAATACGTCAGACAAACATAAAATAGATACTAACATCACATTCCACAAGGAAGTAACACGTTTCAACTTGTATTTTTATATAAATATTCACTAAAACCGAAAATTAACCTGCTACTAAAACTAGCTTACATGAATTTGATTTTTGCCTCACTCGTGACAGTTCGTTTGATATGAAACTGTCGTTCTATGCGTTATTATTCTAAGAGTATTTACATATACAAAAGTAACACTTTGAAAGTATTTTATAGTACGTTTGAATGAATTTTCAAAAAAAAAAGCACAAACACGCCGCTATTGATGATAATAAAATCACTCACCTTGTTCTTCGAAGAATTTCATGACAGGAAAGTAAATAATGACAGCTGTATATATAAAACCTAGGATTGTTAAAACAAACTTAAAGTTGTCTTGCACTCGTAGTGGCAAATGCTCTGTGAACCGCCACGTACTTATGCCAGTGATGTAAGTGAGGGTACAGAATGTGACTGTCAGAAATCCAAGCACCTTGTGACCAATTATAAAAAGAGGCTTTTGTTTTAACCCAAAACAATCCCAATCCCACACACGTATTAAAGCTCCGATTAAAGCGGTCATAATACAAAAGAAAACCGTAACATCTCCTGCAAAGTACAAATTCAATTGATGGTTAAATTTACTATAAAGGGTTTTCCATTAAGGACATAACAAGTTTGTATTTCATTAAAAGCACAGAATAATTGAGAAATCGAGCTGGAATTTATTCCAGGTGCAGTTTATATGATCACCGCTGTAGCGGTCACACAGCTGGTCAAACAATTGATCTACATAAGAGGAAGTTCGATAATCGTCTAATCTCGCAAAATGGTCCGGTCACACGGCCATCTCCCTCATGCTCATCTAACGCCGTTTGATTACTTTTTATGGGGTTACGTTATGTCGTTGGTGTATGCCAATAGCCAACAACGTTAAATGGGCTCAGGAACAATATCCGCGAAATTGCCAATGTTTCAACTTCAGAATTGAACGCTTCAAATGTGCTCGCGGTGGTCACATGAACGAGATCGAATTCCATTCTTAAATGTAACATGCGTACCTGGAATAAATTTCAGTTCTAAATCTCAATTATTCTATGTTTTATTCAAATACAAAATTGCTATGTCCCTATTGAAAAACCCGATACATATATATATGTATACTTATAGTAAGAGTAGAGCTTAGTTGCTCTTTTTAAGAGAATTTGTCCAGCGAAGTACTACCACCATGTGAGATTTACTGCGTTTTGAAGGTTAAGGGTGCTGGTGAAATTACAGGCACAAGGGACTTGTCAACTTTAGTCTCAGAGTGCTGACGCAGTGGCAGTGCCCCTCAGATCTTTACAATTTAAACCTCTGAGTGGCACTGTAACTGTCACGGATACGCTTTCAGATACGACTTGTTTGTTATGTCACTTGACATCATAAATGTTCTTTTAAATCTCTCAAAAAAATGCTGAAATTAGCAAGATTTGCAGTTGGTAATTGAAATATTGTTGAAACCGTCACAGAAAGACAAAAACGACAGCAGCCACATCACGAAATAAAGCTTTATAAGCGTGGCGTTCACTATAAAGGAATATTATGACGGAACACAAAAATATTACGAATAATATTCAAGAAAAAATTCACTGTGTTTAATTTAAAGCACAACATGTACGTCTATATAGTAGGTTTCCTGTTTATATATAAAAAATACACTTTGCGAAATTGAAAACTTTCATAAAACCGATATTATCGATCGAAATGTCGTTCGATATCGAGACATCGAAATATCGTTCAGGACAATCGGTCATATTTATACCCCATCACCATGGTTATAATTGGAAAATAACTAACTTTTACGTACCTGTGACTCTATGAATTCTGTTGTCGGCTCGAGATGAGTTTATGAAACGTGCTACAATGCTTGTACAAAATAAAAAGAAGCAAGCGATTGCTTGCAGTTTTATGTGTTGGTCCATCCGGTCCGCGGGTCGCATTGGTGCTGTAGATAACACTGAGGGATTATGGGAGAGTACACCTATCGGAATCAAACACTGACACTGAAAAATAAACAATACATTATAGGCAACAGGTATTGCGTCGGTCACCACTGGAATCCGTTAATACTGGCTGGAAAGTTTGGTAACACAGTTGAAGTCGAAAATTAGTAGTTTTTACTTTTATTCCTGTTGCACGAGTCTCTCAGTTGCCTCATTTCACTTGCTTACGTTGACTGGGTCACGGCGTAGAAATCTGCTCCGCGCAAAAGCGTTCACGAGTCTTCCGCTTTGTGTTGCGGAGAGACTTGCGCGTTTTGGTTTTATTGGACGCGTGGACGCTACTGCTCTGTGATTGGCCAGTAGTGCTGGAGGACAGCAAACGTTCCCTGTTGCTTGCGTGAAAATATCAAACATGCTAGATATCAAACACACGTAACGCAAAGAAATCTAACTCAAAGCAAGCAGCCGGCGCAAGCGAGAGACTCGTGAATAGTCCTACCATCGCGCACAAGACAGATCTTTGCGTATGCGCGAAACGAGTCACGCAAGCAAGCGAAACACGCAAGTGATAGACGCGTGCACCCGGCATTAGATGTTACTGAAGTCAAAATAAACGTGAATGTCAATAAACATGATGTAACCAACACTAATACAATTATTTGTTATTATTAATCATGGAGTAGGTATCAGAAATAAAGACCAAATGTCTTTTAATATGTTTAAAAAATTATTCTGCCATATCATTACGGTGATAACTGCGCTCCGATTGGCCAGCCCGAGTTCGAAACAATTGACGGGTGTTGTCAATTAAACCACTTCAATCCGACCAGTTTAACTTGAGCTTTGCTATAATAGACGAAACTTGAAAAACTATATAATATAATATTTAATTACTGATGAAATGTGAACCCGTTTGTTTTGTAATCAGAAGTTTTACTGTTTTTCCCACACCACCGAATAGAACAGCCCTCTTTAGTTAGAGCTATTATATTATTACAATAATTTACTACTATTTATTTATTTAATACTAATTTGTGATTTCAGCGCAAACGAGAGTTGATATTTAAAAGTGATATCAGTACCATTTGATTGATAAGTTGCCAGGGATCGATGGCCCTTATTTCGTCTCTATTTCAAAATTTTGACAAAACATTTTTTTCAGATATCATAAAAGTCCAGGGATCAAGCATGTTTTTTATTGATTATTATTATTTATTGTCCCGTCACTTATAATAAAAATTATAATTTGAAAATCAAATAGACAAAAAACCCCATTGGTGTTATTAAAAAAATAAATAAAAAAAAACAGTAATAGTTCCAAAAAGTAATCTCGCAATTTAGTACTTTCAGGAAAACGTGGTCGATAAGATTAATTGGGGAATGAACTAAATTGATTCTGATGTGGATTCCATTGCTCTGGTACTCATAGTACTGGGCATTACTTACTTTGAAACCAGGTAATTAGATGTAGCTTTCTGGTACGTTAAAATATGTAATATACTTCATTGTACTTACTATCAATATACCAAAAAGAACATGTGCTATATTCTGCCACTCAACCGTAAAGTCTAAGTAATAAAGAGCAGGCACCGCGAGTAACATTCCCATTAGTACATATACAAACATTAATATGGCCAGCTTGAATATTTTCGTAAAATATTCATCATCATCCACTACAATTATTCTTACAGGACCAATAAACTCGTGGGTCAAAGTCCCACATTCTAAATCGCAAACTGGCATTTTTAATTAATTACCTATATTCATAAATAAAAGAAAAAATTTAAAAGTAAATATTCATAAATTAAACTATCTAAAATAATATAACGATATTTTAAAAAATTGACAGTATTTTTTTTAATATTGTTTTCACGGCATTGGAAGAAATCCGTCAAGACAATTTTTTTTTATTTTTTTTTAAATTTAATGAGTAATGGCGTTTTTTTGGTCAATTTGATTTTCAAATTCAATTTTTTTTGTAATATTAAGCGACGGGACAATAAATAATGAATAAAAAACGTGCTTGATTCCTAAACTCTGAGTATTTCTGCCGCCATGCAGTTACGTTAGCATTACTGAGTTCCGATTTTAAAGGGTGCTGGTAAAACTCTTGGTATATGGGATTTTTTAACTTATGTCTCAGGGTGACGGGCGCAGTGGCAGTGTCTCTCCGATCTTTGTGATTCAAAGCTCGAATAGCACTGCAACTGCTACGGACAGGTGTGTCATTTACCACCAGGCGCGCGACTTGTTCCTCCCGTCAGTTGATATCAAAACAAACATTATATTTTCGTGATAGCCCAATCTTGAATAATTTCTTCACTGAACAAACCCTGTGTTAAAAATACTTTCTTTTTTCAATAGTATATTTTTTAGCAGATAACTATTTCAATGAATCATTTGATTCATTAGTCTCCGTGTTCGTTTTTGGCACACTTAATACGTTTTGTAAAAAGTCATTGTAGCAAAAGTTGTTTTTTGTTTTTGTTTTGTTTCTGACACTTCTTTGTGTAGGACGTTTTTCCATCCTCTAAGGTAGGACGTCAGGAATATAGTCCAGGGGGGTTAGTATTTTACAAATAGTCCGGTATAAACGTCATTTCGAAACTTCGAATATCTAAAACCGGGGAAAACTTCCATGCTAACAATATTTGTGTATTCTAGTTCCTTAAAAATAAAAATGCAAATTCATTCGAATCATGTTTCTGGCAGTGTATATTTTAATAAAACATACAAAAATTAATAATAACAAAAGTCATATCGTTATATAAAAGAAATATGGAAAAAAGTGAGTGAAATCTCAAATGAAGATACTTATTCATTATAATGTTTTTGCAATCTAATATGGTAAAGCTAAATTCTGATCACGCATAATTATTTTGCGCAATAGTCGCTACAAGGAATTCTTTACGCAGCCGTCGGTTCCTTCATGATCACGCCAACGAAAGGTTTACTGGTTTTGTGGTTTTCTTTTTTTTCTCTCCAAATCTCCAATATAGCTCCTCATCATCTATTTCACTTATATCTTCTCCTCTCCTAAATTTTCTGCAATTTACAATACAAATTTTGAAGAGATAATTATATCACGAATTAATAAGATTAATTGAGACAAGAAAATGCTACCGCTAGCAATGTCGTGCCATATGAGATGGGTATCATATGAGTATACATTAACGTATCAAATGTCAATTTACAAAAAAGTCACAAACGAATTCGTTTTCCCGAATATTTTCTTTCTCATATTTATTTAGTTAAAACAGTAAATATATGCTAGACAGCCACACCAATTGCCTGATCTCAAATTAGGCAATTCCCGTAACTATGAATACCAGAACAACGGAATTCACTCTGTGGTACTTCCCAGAACACCCAGACCAGAACCAATTTAGAAACATTAATTTTTCTCAAATTGGTTCAACATCTAACGTCGACATTGGAAACCGTTAGCCACCCAGGTCGTCATAATAAAACGAATTATCGGATAGTAAAAATTGTGACAATTTCGAACCCTGCAATACAGCGCACACGTAATTATTTTATTACAGTGAGGGTTGTTTTACATTTTCCTTGAGGACGTTCTCATTTCGATTGTGACCATTGACCTACAATTATATGGACGTCGGGTCCGCGCTAAAAAGTGTCCGCACTTGTAAGGCGTTAAAATCGTATACAGAGCGTCAAAGTCCGCTTTAGTCTTCATTTGTTCGACTGACAGCGCGATACTGCGATGACATTACAATTTAAATTTCGAATAGGTTGACTTGGGACATTTTTTTGTGGTTTTTGTATTAGACCCGTCGTCCATTTATTTGTAAGTCAATGATTGTGACTGTTTTTTCTTTGTATGATGTTACGCGATTATTCCGGCGGCATTTGTGAACCGATTTTGATGATTCTTTTTTATTGGAAAGAAAGTGCCTCAGAGTTGGTTACATTTAAATTTGAAGAAAATATTCCACCTCTAGGATTGACAAACTTGGGAACGAAACTCGTTTCGCGCACTTTCCGGTAACCGATTGCAATAAAACTTGACAAAAAGATGTAATTCTATGAACTTTTGAGATTTCTTCACGATATCTTCCTTTACACATGACGCAGCAATAACAAGGTTTGATTCCAAAGGCCGCGAAACGAATTAAATAATTGTTTTACCAACAAAAGTTACATACACAATCTTTCTAATGCATACTTTAGCGGGATCATTTATCACCACAATCATGCTACAGAAACAGAGGAATGCCAAAAAGTAGCCATATATTTCTTGCCGAAGCCAAGCCGTAAAATTCTGTTTGGTTACACCTGTCATGTAGCAGATGCTTCCAAGAAGTAAACTGATAATTCCACAACCCTTGTGAATGGTGGACATTATTAGATATATCCGTTCTTGGCCAAATGCAGGTTTTTTAATATTCGAGAAACTCAATATAACGACGACAAGTAAGAAAACATTGGCCCAGAAACCTGAAACAATGAAAATAACCATTAGGGCTGCCACAGGCGTTTGTATCTGCATCCGCATCTGAGGACCATCCGCATATTTTTAAATATTTCATCCGCATCCGACATCCGAATTAACCGATGTAGAGTTTTTGCGGATACCGGTGCTTTGCAGGTCACGACACGATCGTCGGGAGCAGGCCCTACTCAAAGCGCGTGGGAAGTACTAGTACTAATAATTAGCTAAGCAAGGATCGGAAATTCGGCATCGTGTAGAACAGCAACGACCTGTTTGTTTTCTAAACAAAGATTATTGAAATTTTTATTGAATTGATATTCATAACAAAGATTATTGAGTTTACATTGACTTACGAAATATGAATGAAAAAATTTAAGATAGCCTAGTACTATTCACATTAAAGACGGCATCTTTAAAAACTTTAAGTATTAATAAATGTCGTAATATTTCTATACCTTCTATCTTTCATCTCTTGTAACAAAAATATGTAAAATTATTATTTTTTACTTTTTTTAATTAATCATTATTCAATGATCACCAATTCCACATTTATTCTGATAAAAGATTTTTTTACATATCCGTATCTGCATCGACATCTGCAGATTTCAACGATGATAAATTTGCATCCGCATCCGTATCTGCAGATGCCGTCACAACTTACAACTGCGGCATCACTAGTAACCATAGAGTTTACCATCAATACTGTCGAAATGTAGCAAACATCTTCAAAATGTTTGATTAAAGTTTTTTAGGGCAAAACTTAATAGGAATAATGTTTATAAAACCATAAATTATCATGCAGGACTACTCCATAGATCGAACAATCTCATAAACGATCTAGCATGAAAATTTGACTACATAATTATGATAAATAGGGGATGAAAGTTTATTTCTTATTTGTCCCACCAGAAAACGAGCGAAAAAGACGAAGATAACTTCACTGTAAAGTACTCGGCTGCAAAATTTTTAGCAGCAGTAGATCTCCTTGTAAAAGAGTTCGTCCAAGGAAGTACTGCCACTTTATGTACTTGTGCCGCCAAGCAGTAATGTGAGCATTACTGCGTTCCGGTTTTGAAGGATTGCTGGCGAAATTACAGGCACATGGGACTTATACATAGGATAGGGGTATTGTTTTAAACCGTGCGGCTTGTTCGTCCAATCTTTTGGTACCATATAAAAGAAATTCAATACAACAGCATTAATATTTTCGGCACCTAAGCCATTACAAATAGATGTCAAGCTATACCAAAATTATATTGCAACGTTAACAACCTACGATTGGCTAAAATTGGATTGGCTAGACATGTTTAAAAACTGGACTACTAGTATAATAATAATGCATACTTATATTATGAGATGATTAGCTACTAATCATACTACTGACTAAATTAAATTCCTCCTCTAGTGCCGAGGGGACAAGAGAGTTTTAATCTTTGTTTGTTCTTACCGTGACAACACAGCTAAAGTCCCTACGAGATCCTCAAAAAGTACCTGTTCGTGAGTGCCATGTTCCGCCACCGATTCCAAAAGTACCCTTCCAACCATACATAGCGCACAGAAACCCGACAACCTGACATACACCATGTTCTATGTTCCTTTCTCTTATTCTTTCATGTTTCGCAACAATATTAAAACGGTTATAGGTCAAAATTCCTATTGGAAATAATAGTTGATACTGAAATAAAAAACATTAGTTTTAAGGCCTTTCGGCCAAGGTTTTAAGGCCAACAGAAGCAAACGTTAAAAAGAGTCAAAACAGTTGACAATGGGCCATATTCATTAATTTGTCACAATACTTTAGTTTTAGCAAGACCATAAGGACAACAAAAGCTAAACTTAAAAAGTGTCCAAAAAATTGACCATAGTCAATGTTCATTAATGTATTAAAATAGTTAAGTTTTAGCAAGACTTTAAGGACAACAGAAGCAAAATTTAAAAAGAGTCCGAAATATTAACAATAGTCAATGTTCATTAGTTTATTAAAATAGCTTAGTTTTATCAAGGCTTTAAGAGGGAGCAGAGGAAAAATTCCTAATCTTCGATTTGATTTTAGAGGGGTATATCCACTTTAAAGTTGAAAATAAAATATTGTATGAGTAACTACACGATATATTCAAGCATAGACATTAATCAGAAACATAAAACAATAAAGTTTCCTCGATAGATAAAAATCACGAAATGACCTCTAATTTTCACATTTTTTCGACTTATCCTCGACATGCTACATGTTATTAGGACAAAAATTAGATAATTAATTATATTTATGCATGATCGACAACTGTCACTACGGATTTTTTTTAATCCCTTTAGTTTTAGAGTTATTCCGCTAAAACGAATTTGGTACTTTTAATGCGCAAAATTCAACATCTCCTGTCGTATGTCACGCGAATTTCAGGCATATATTTGTTTCACAAATTTGGGCGGAGCCAACGTCAAAACTTTTTTGGCATGCTCCCTCTTTAAGGACAACAGAAGCAAACTTTAAAACAAGTACATTACAAGTCAATTCATTTAGTCTAATGTGGTATGTTTCAACTCTTAATTTCAAATAAATTATACATGCCTATCTCCCATTGGAGTAGGCAGAGACAATGGTCTTTTTTATTTATTGTTATGACACCGAGAGACGGGATGAAAAAGTCGTGCGCCTAGTTGTATGCGACACGCCTATGCACAGCTGTCGCAGTGGCGCTCAAATCTTTAATCGCAAAGATGTAAGGGGTACTGTCACTGCTCCCGTCTCCCTAAAACATAAGGCAGTACTTCCCTGTACGAACTCATTGACACGAAGCCCTACTGCTGCAAAAATACAGACTAAAAGTCTAGCTACTGCAAGCCGCACGACTTGCCTATCTCGTCATTCGGTATCATAGAAATTAAAACCAAATCACGAATTCCACAGAATTGTACTTACCGCACTCGTACAATAGAAAATGTGGCCATTGTATCTAAACGGGAGTGCATAATTGAAAGTGAACAATGTGGCCATAATGAACTGCATTCCAAAAAACATATAGGTTGCCGCAACTAGTCCACTGACCGTCATGTTTTTTTTATATACTTCTGGAGGCGTCTCCATGAGGATGATCTTCACGGGGCCGACAAATTCCTTGAATGATCCTTGTCGAGCGCATTCTAGATTACATTCATAATCTGAATAGTCTATGTATGGTTCAGGCGGTCTTTCTTCCACAGGCGAGCGTTTTGACATGGTTGAAAATTGCTATAAAACGAAACAAACTTACAACTACGTAATGTATGCTAGTTTACAGATTATAAACGTTAAGTATTTGTTGAAAATTGTAATCATAAATAAAGGATATCTCGAGACCAAAGAACTCAAAATAGAATTAGCTAAAATTCTCTAACAGTTTTCTCTACATCAAAATTAAGATAACCGTCTTACTGTGAATTGTGAACAATCAAAAATATGAAATTATTAAATGAAAATGTTATGTTTAACGGGGTGTCAAATGTCAAACTAACCATAATCTTCGTCTTCTATCAATAGTTTATAGAAATAAAATAATCTGTTGCAATCAGTACGTGTACTTCTTAGAGGATGGAAAAAGTGTACTTAGAGGATGGAAAAAAATAATAGTCTAAGGTACGTGCATGGAATTAATAAGTACTTCGTACAACGAAGTACTTATTAATTCCATGGGTACGTGTAACACTTATTTTTTTCCATCCTCTAAGGTTTAACATAACTCTATGGTAGTAATCTATTTTTAAGGGTAATTTTCAGGCTTAAAGGATGGATTCTGGTAAGTTTTGGTGACAATTTTTTTTTTATTTAAACATTTATAGAATATCATCATGAAGCATTATTTAATATTCGAGTGTGTGTAACCTGAAATATTCTTTAATAGCACGACGATATATTCGAGTAATTAAATAATAAAAAATGTTACCAAAATTGAATACGAAAAACTTACCTGAAAATTAATGCTAAAACGTTTTCTCCCCATATAGTTGGGTAAGCAAAAGTTCCACCATACAACCTCGATTTAGACACATTTTCATTTCATTCGTAAATTTTCACCTTAGAGCTTAGACTATTTTTTCCATCCTATAAGCCTTAAAGGATGGAGTTTTTACCCATTTGTTTGGGTAGGCAAAGGTTCGTACCCATCATAGTATGAACCTTCGTCAGTCTCTTTGCATTATGTTAGTATTTTTCCTTGTTTTGAAAAAAGCGACAAGCACCTGTTCTTAGATATATAAAATCACTTTGATCTTTCCAGTTTTACGTTTTAGCCACTAACTTCTTTCAAAGCTAATTTTAGAAAATAATATAAAAATTTAGCTATTGTAATAATGATACAGTAGTTATCCTATATTTATACCTATTGTTTATTTATATCTCATAGTTCCTCATCTGAACTTCTTTTTTTTACTCTTTCTCCATCTTCCTTATCCCGTCTTTCTTTATTGTAATATAACTCAAAAACCTTGTAAGTGGCTGAAACGCTAACCGGGTAAAGCCAGGAAAATAAAATAAAATACCATTTTCTACTTTTCCATTATAAAGATTATTTTGATTCGCTCTGGACCTTTTGGAGGGAAAAGTGTCGTTTTTATTTTGACTTTCAATTATTTTGTGAAATCTAGTTTAAAGTGGAATAGGATAATGCTATTGTGCCTTAATCGAAGATTAAAACGCGAAATTATACGAATCTCGAACTAAAATACCCGTATCGGCCCCTTTTAAGGAATCCCGAGTCAATCTAAGCACGCCGCCGCCTCAAATTGCCTATCCTCTTTGTGGCGGCCATATTTACAGAAACATATTTACACTTCATGTTTAGGCTGATGGCTTTGCCAAAGCCTTAATAAATAAAAAAAAAATAAAGATTATTTTTTCTTATTTCCTGGCACTATACTATGGCGTCCAGCCTTTGGCCATATGCAATTTCGATTGAGTTGCTAATTTTTGATAATACTTCCTTCTTGAGACTTCAGAATTGCATTGAAGTTTTACTCATAGAGGATGGAACCATAGTCTAAGTATTTACCCGGAATGGGAACTCTATACCCTAAATTGCCCCCACTCTGATATGATGTCCCACCGAAGACGAAGCTTAATGGCAATAAAATATATTGTAATTGCTTTTTTATTTGAAGCTAAACAAAACCTTTTTACCAATGACAATCGAGCCTTTTTATAAAACTAATAACCTTAGTTTCTCAAACTCGTATCTTATAAGGAGTGATTATTATTTATAAAATTGTCTATTTATTTTAAATTTCTTATGAGGGGTATTTATTTGAATGCATTACTTTAAGAATAGATAAAAACCAGTGCGTGAATATGAAGGAAATGTGTTGTGAAATCAACCTGCAAACTTTGTACATACATTCTATTTTTTTCATTTCAGTAACTTTGTGATTTAAGATACGAGTTTGACAAAGTAAGTAATCTAAAAAATATAATATAAAATAAATAAATAAATATAAATAAAATATCTATTAATTTAATTAAGGGGAAGATATTTTGTTCATGTGTGAGTTTGTCATAAAATATAATAAAATAAAATTTTTAAAATAAAATACAAAATATAAATATTTAAAAAAGTCTTAGCGTAGGCCTATTTACCTAAAACTAAGAAAAAAAATCACCTCACAGTTGCCTTTTCCCTTGAGTATGGAAAATAGTCTAAGCCTTTACCTTAACGGAAATAATTAAAAAACAACATGTTAACAAATTTTGAAAATAACCGAGTTTCAAAATGGCTACCGTAAAGATGTATGGATTTCTCGCGAAAAAATGTCAGAAAATTAAACTAGTGTAAAAAAATTACAATCTAAGATCTGGCAGTATGGCCAATTCGACGCCTTAGCTTGTCCCGAATGACGAAAAATTTTACTACTATTTGAAAATAATCTTGTCTGCAAAGATAGCACAAAATAAAAATTACGCTTCCGGCAAGCAACCACCACAACGCCGTTTAAATGTTCCTTTCCACAGATACTGAATGCTGTTACCGCGTCATATTTCCCCTTATAGATAAAACTCAAAGGAAATGGCTAAAGCTATCCTTAACGATACCATTACATTTTATTACCAAAGTACACGCGTTTGCTTTTTTGATACAAATCCAAAAATATGATTCACCTGCTACAAAACTAAAAAGGCTTAAGGAAAAAGATATAAAACGTGTTATTTGTCGGATGTTTATCGCATAGCTTATATGATAAAATTACACGTGTACATAACAAACCTATTTTATACCATAGACTTTACTAATCAACGTTTTTTGTCAGATAGTTTTCTAAAAATTGATGATTGATTGATTGATTGAATTGATGAAAATGAGATGGCAATGACCATTTCTACTTAATTTTCGCGGTGTTAAGATTTTCCCTGGAATGGTGATTACTTGAACCGAATTTTATTTATGTGTGAGAAATATCAGAACTGTCGATAAGTTTCTATGAGTTGAGTCCTTTCCTTGTGGGAACGAGTGCATGGACCTATCTGCCGATAGTTGCTTTTTACATTTGTACGTGTAGTACCGCTCCCGTCGATTACAATTAAGTAATAAATATGTAGTGAATATAATTATAATTAACTAAGTAATTATAATGTTGGACACGCAATTTCAAATACCTTGGTTAAGTTATTTAAAAGTACCTGTATAAAATTTTAGGTGCTTTTAATTTTTTTTTTATAATAAGCCTTCAGGATTATTTATTTACTTAGTAAATTAATGAAAAATATAATTTTATATTGATATAAATACCGCGTATCGTTACCGCTCTGCCCACGTACGAGAAAGTAATCGGTTAGTTACACTGCCACTTCACGCACACATTTGCGCGTGTACAGATAGCGCTTTGCTGTATGAAGTAATAGTAGGTAAATAACTTTCGACCGTTGTATGGAGTATCCAGGCTATGACCATATAACACGATTTTTGTTTCTTAGTTATCAATATCATTTCCTAATTGGTTCTAACATAAAAACATGAAATACTTTGGTTTTGTGGTCAGATCAACGAAAAGTTGAAATTTGCACAGCCGTAGAAAAGGTAAAAATTTTCGGGTTTCTCTTTATCTAAAGACAAAAAGGGAAAAATATTTCAAAACAATGGTATACTAATTCAACCAAAACTCTACAAATTGATGACAAAGAAACTTATTTTTTTCCGTCCTCTAAGCAAAGAACCCAGAAATGTGTAGAAAATTAGACAGCTATGTAAATACCATTATATAGCTACTCTTTTCTACATACCTGTTACTCAATGAAACAGAAACCAAGTACCTACTATTAAATCAGAAATGGAATCTTTATGAAAATTTGTTACATAGGGTAATCGTTTGTGTTTGTTAATTTTTTATCTATTCTTAGCTTAGAAGATGGAAAAAAATTATTCACTAAACGGCCATCATAGCATGCCGGTACTTTGTGTGATATAGCATATTTTTTTATTAAAAAAGGAACCGCCTTCAGATTTTGCTTATATGTAATACAAACTGAGACTAAAAATTTAACAATCGGTTACGGGAAAGTGTATTTTCTTCAAATTTAAATGGGACCAATAGTGAGGCACCGTCTTTGCAACAAAAAATAAACATAAAAATCGGTTCAAAGGAGGACTCTTGGCCAAAGGCTAGCATGCACCGACATTCCCGAGGACGGTTACCGAACACCCACGTTGCGTCACACGTCGCAGCCCATACGTGTAAATAAATAGTGTTTTATTATAATGGTATGTTATTCTATATGGTATGTATTTATGAATCTTTGTAGCCTGATCATAAATAAATAAAATTAGAATAAATACAGTCGAATTGAAAACCTCCTCCTTTTTTTAAAGTCGGTTAAATATAACAATGTCATTGGCCCCATTTGATATGTTTGTTTTCGAATTGTAGACGTGTAGACAAATTAATATATTTTTTTCTAATAAAAGTAATACATACATCTTAACATTTTAATCACATCATTTCACAGTGGTGAAGAACCATGAAGAATCAATAAAAGTACCGAAATAAAAACAATGACCTTAAACGAAGTAAACAAACTTATAATGTACCTAAAACTGAATAAAACAAATTTTTCTACAATAAATCGAAACGTGGACAGACCAATAAAAATTTCAGAAATATAGCTCATATAAAATCGATTTAAAATTATCGATATCGCCATGGAATCAATTACAAAAACTGTATCATAAAATACTAACCGAAGAAATTAATTCGAATGGCAAAGCAATTACGGACAGTCACGATGCGGAGTGATTCACGACGTTCATTAACGAATAAATCATGAAACCAGACGTGTGAATTTACATAGCAACTACAAGAATCCTTAT